AACAAAAGCATTTTACCATGGGAAGGATTCTGTATAAATAATTCCAAAATCTTATTTCAAATTTATCTGGACTCTTAGTCCATTTGAACTTTCTAAAATCAAAGTTTTAATCACCCTTTTGCTATTTATTCAAAAAACATTTTTTTAAGTCCTTAAACTTGTAGTTAAGATTTCTTTTGCTAAGGATTGAAGGAAACTCCCCCAGTGCTGTAAAACTTGTCAATCCAAAGGTTCCTAACAGCTGAAAAGCTGTTAACAAGCAATTTCCAAAAGTGATTAGAAAAGGAAGTGTCCTTTCAAAGATGTTGATGCTGGTTTGAGTAAAATGGCTATTCCCTCATCCCCCAGAGTCTTGCAGTCTCCTCACAAGAAGCAACTGTCTAGAGCACTTGTGGGCAATCTCAAATCCTTTCCTTGTCCAGATAGGAATAACTGAGGAACTGGTCTACTTGCCGGATCTTCATTCTGCCGTGGTTATCAACTCAATTTTCGGCAGAGCCATCTTCAGTCTGCCATTACTGCCCCGGGAGCCCCTTTCCCCGGCTGATGTCTTAATAATTAAAAGGCATATACAAATAACAAACCAAGATAGCCACCTGGATAATTTTCCTACACTGGATTTACAAAAGAAGCTTGTTAAAGTTTTGGAGAATTTTGTGAGAAGGGACAAAGAAAAAATGAAAAGAAATCAAGCTCTACAACGTTACTTGAAGGGATTAATCATTAAGATCGTTAGAAGTAAAGGGAAGGGATATAAAGTTGGTTTGTTTGATCAAGGTTAAAATAGATATGTTGTTATCTCTGGTTACCCTTAATGGACTTTTGCTGACATCAAGGCTGAAATGATGAGGCTTTATGGATTTGTTTATAAATAAGATATGGGATATGGGAAGAAGGGATTATTTGTTGTATTTTAAAACAAGGTGATAAGTTACTAAAATTGTTTACACTTGTGATGAAGGTGGGAAGTCACTTCTATATAAATTTATTTTCTTTTTTTTTAAACTATATTCTTTTTTTCTTTCTTTTCTATTTCTCTATTTTTCTTTCGTTGTTCTTTCTTTTCTGCACCTTTTACTTTTACTTTTCATTCTTTTTTTAGTATGTATTAGTTTTTATTGTCGCAATTGTAATCTTTAATAAAACTACTGTTCAAAAAAGAATAAAATAGCAAAACTATACCTAATTTTTTTAGTACCAAAAATCAGATGGATTGTCCCTACCGAATATCACAAAATAAATACTTTCTAATAAATATAATTACTTATGGAATATGTCCTGCACTGTTTGTCTCCCACAAGTATTATCCTCATGCTGAATTCTAAGAAAAAAAAACAGGGCTGATGTTTTCTTTACTTTATCAGTGCTCATGCACTCTATGCTTCTATGTTTCTTCTACTTTGGAGAAACTAAAAGGGGTAAATAAAATTTTATTCAAAGCAAATATTTACATATATTCAGCATCTTTTTAAAAAATATTATCTATTTTATTCTATTAATTTTTTGTAACAGTAATTTTAAAAGCTGCAAAATGAGTTGTGAATTTTGGAAACATTTTGAATTGATGATGATAATATACATTCATTCAGAAAACATTAAATCAAACACAGACATTATTTAGACTGTGCTTAGGTGTATGATTTCTTGCTTTAAACAAAAGCCACATATAAGGACAAGTCTAAAAGCCTGGAAGGCTCTTGTAGATTAAAAGAGTGTGTAAAGGCCAGTGTAAAAAAAAGAAGCTTATTTTTCTTTCCCTTTCTTTATTTTCTTGTACACAAGGAATACAACTGAAGGGCCCATCCATGCACTGGTTTCTCATAGGTATTCTCCAGGGCTCATGGAGGATTGATTACCGACAAGTTAATTGCAATCAGTGGTGATATCTTGAGATCAACTCACTATGGGGGTCACTTACAGCCACATTTTAACATTATTGTGATATTTTAAATACATTTGGTGAAACTATAAATAAGAGCAAATGGAAGATAACAGCACCTCCCAATGGAGAACAATGAGATTGAATAACAGAGGTAAAACTTTCAAATATAATTGATATTAAGGCATGTGGGTGATTATCCATTACACGCTTACCTGGGAATAAATCCCACTGAATTAAAAAAAAAAAAGCTTATTTCTAAAGGGACACAGTAATACCTAACTTTCTCTAGATACTGCCCAATGCTCATTGGCATCTTTAAATACTGATTAACCCATTTAGAATTTAAACAAATAATTAAGAAAAAAAAACACCTAAATCTGGAACCTGAACCTTGTTGAAGCCTACTTTGTTTATTTATGGAAGGGTCTTTCATAGATCAGTCCCATTTTACTGCAACTGTTTTGAATCTTACACTACTTTCTTAACCCTATGTATGGATTCGTGCTTCAGTGACACAACTTCAAACATACTGTTCTATGTGTCAATATATTAGATCCTTGGGAACCTGGAACCATACAGATGCCTTCCAATTGACTATATATTGATGACATAGGCAGAGATATAAGGACATTTTGAATACAGAACTTTAGTTTAGAAGGGTTTTGTGCTGGACACTACAACAGCCGCCATTGCATTATTTAGTAATGAGTTTAGAGGCACTGCCTCAATGTTAGCTATGTTACTTAATGCTCTTAAAACCCTATTTCTCAACGAGGACTACTGCAACTGCCTACGTCTATCACTAGCAGCTGATTATACTTTGGGATGCTTTTCTGTGGTTGTGTTGCACTGACAACACAAGCTGAATCTAAGAAGCTGGAAGGGCTGCCATGTGGATGATCCATGAGCAACAGTGGTGGTCTTTTACTTCTTCTCATGCTTCTTGGTTAATTGCCCTCTTTCAAGCTGCAGGCCCAGGCTGCTCTCTGTGCCTTTTTCCTTCTGGCGGCTCTCCTGAGAGAGCTGCTGGACTGCCTGCTGAATGACTGTATGCACTATCAGTTTGCTGGCATTCTGCAGTTTTGTTTCTTCCTGTCCAGTTCCAGATTTATCCCCTGTCAGAAAAAAGAAGGTTACTTTAACTGGAAATTATATATAAATATATCTATCTATATCTATATCAATGTCTATATTACTTGAAATCATCAGTGAGGGCTGATTGCCACTCTAGTATCTTCATTGACTGGAAGCTCACAGAGACAGTAATTGATGATTGGTTCAGCTGTCTGCCATTCACCAAGGGTAATGCTTTAATTTCAGATGACAGGAACCTGCAGCCATCTTGGCTATGGCTAATGCTGGGTTTTAGTGCATCATCACTGCTAGGCTATGGAGGTTTTATTAGAGTGCCCAAGTTCAGTGTTTCTCAATCCTGCTGGCTTGGGAATTCTGGGAGTTGAAGTCCACACATCTTAAAGTTGCCAAGTTTGAGAAACACTGCCCTAGACTGTGGAGGCCGATGATGTGGCTCTAGCCACATCAGGCCCATTGCAAGAAAACAGATATTAAATATGGACTCCTATACTCTTAGCACATAGGCTGTAAGACTGTACTGCATGTGCACAAGAATAGTGAACTTTACCAAAATGAGTGACTTAGATTTAAAATATAAATTTTTCTCCCCTTAGTTCTGGAATTTGACAGCTAAAGATTAATATATATATATATCTGCTTGTTTTCCTTTGGAAGTCAGAAGGATGATCAACATGTATTGGTGAAAGAATTTCATTTTGCTAATTTGACTCCAACAGATATTAAAACATTCTTTCTGGGAACTTAAACAAAGAAACTTAATTCAATCTGTGTGCTTTCAAGAATAATAGGGCGTTTGCAAATATACATACACATAAAAACAAAACATTGAGTTTATCAATATCCTCAGCTTCTTTTCTTCTCAGGAGACATCCAAACATAAACCAACTTTGTTCACTTCCCACACTGATATCACTTTGCCACTTCAGGAACAACATGATCTGTCTTTGTTGATCCAAAGCTAAGCAAACATGCTCTTGGCTGTCTTTAACTGGCTGTCTTTAACTCGCTGTCCTGAGACAAGCATGCCCCACCAATTTCTAACTATATCTGGGTTCCCCAAGAGTTTTGTTCTCCTTTTTCTCAGTTTTCCCAGAAAAACCGAGGAAGACTGTAATCCTAGAGAAAAGTCACACACTGATTATGGAAGCATTTTGGTTCCAATGAGACACAAAGAAAATGTTACATTTGTTTTCTTATAGTCACTTACAAAACTAAAGGGAAGTTCTCAAATGCTATAGTGTAAGGCACATTATGGACAAAGTGTCCAAAATATCAACAAGAAAAGGCAGAAAAAGGACCTCTGAGTTGTGCCGTGGTTACTCCATTTTTAACACTCTTTGTGTTGTTCTGTGGCTCAGTCCAAGCCCTACCATTCAGCTCACCATTCACTCTCATCATCAGTCCAACTAGGTCTTTCTCACAGATGCCCTTCGCCTTCTCTTGTCTTTCAGGAGGAATTGTGTTTTCAAATTTGTGCTGTCCACTTTTTCATTCCAATCTCCTTGAACTGGAAGTGGGTGTGTATTTTTTTTTCTCTTTTACTTTATACAGATATGACCAAGACAGAAAGTGTAACCTTGTACTGGTGTTCTAGTAGCACAACTATTTACCATCTCTTATTTTATGGGTTTTTCACATCCCTCTGCTCACAAATTCAATATACTTTTGGCAAGAGTGTACAGCAAAGCTTTATGCAACAAAAGTACTTCAGCTACGCATATTCTTTTTTCCTTCCAGCTTCACCACTGCCGCCTTGCTACTTCTTTGACCTTACCTCTGTCCCCCTGAAACGCTGCTTAAGAAAAGGAGATGAATCTGCAGATTCTTCAAAATTCTCACTTTCTTATTGTTTTTTATGGCTTTTTCTCTCACCCTGCATCATTTTTAAAACCTCTTTTAACCTGTTTGACTACCATTTTTTCCCCAAACTGTTCTCCATTATTAATTGTCCCAAAGAGACTAAAGTAATTGAGAGCCTGAGGCTGCATTGAAATATGTGAGCCAAATTCTAACTAAAAGACTCTCTTACTGGTCTTTGTATTTTGCTGTGCTAATATTTATTCTTGGGTTTTATTTAACTTGCATTTAAACTGTTTGTTTTGGCTTTTGAATTTGTTAATTACCCCACTTCAATTGCATTTTGCACTTCCCCAAAAATCACTTGAATATTTTGTCCCTGGGCCCTTATGGACTGCATTCAGGTGACCCAGCAGCCCACTTTTACCCCCATCATTTCCAGATTGCACTGTCCAAATGTAATGACAGAGCACTGAATTTTGGTAGCATGACTTCAGGGCTTAGTCTGAGGGCTGGATTGGTTTAAGCATAGAAATGAGAGCAGTTTGTCTCTCAAAGCCTCCCGTTCCTACCCTAACATTCCCAAAACTGGGGGGACAGTGGGCTAAAAGAATATGGCCTCTCCATCTGGTGATGTCATAGTATCAATTGCTTAGTGAGTTGACAACAGTAGGTAGCCTTTGAGCACTTAATGAGCCTATAGTTAAGACTGGACAAAATTAATGCGGACATATTTTTTTTCAGAGCAGTTCTCTATCGAATCTAGTTACTACCCAAAGAACAGTATTTATTGAAAAATGCCACCATTATATGAGACCATTAAATGTAAACCACATTGGGAAAAATTGATTTTGAAAGGGGGGGTGTCTATATATTTCTAAAGTAACAAATAAATATAGATCCTTGAAAATAAAGCAAAATGTTTTTTGTTTCTCCAGTTCTAAATGCTTGAAGAATTTTGATTTTTACTCAAAGCTAAGGATCTTCCCTTATGAAGGAAAACTGAGGAAAATGTTCAATCTATTGTTGCAGATACAGTAGTTGTGTGCAAAGGCCCCACAAAGAAAGCTGTATTGCATTTTAGTGCAATTACAACTGTCTGGAAACAGTGATGATTCATCTAAATTTCTAAAAATAGGATTCTTTCAATATTGACTGCTTAAGACCTGCAAAGGATTTCATACTATTTAAAGTGCTGTTGAATTTTATTTTTAGATTTTTTTAATCCCACTTTTATTACTTCTATAAATAACTTAAGGTGATGAACATACCTAATACAACTTCCTCCTCCTATTTTCCCTACAACAACAATCCCGTGAGGTGAGTTGGGCTGAGAGAGAGTGACTGGCCCAAAGCCACCCAGCCGGCTTTCATGCCTAAGGCAGGACTGGAACTCACAGTCTCCTGTCACTGAGGACCAAAGGGAAAATAATACCTGTAATTCAGCTCACAGCTGATATTACAAAGACAGGTAATATTGTGATTGAAAAATGTGATATAATTTTGGTCATATTTTCCAGTTTTATATTCCATTTATTCTAATGGGATTGTCGAACATTGTTTAAATAATTCTTGTCTGTCTGTATGATGCCCATACTAAGATTTATGATGTTGGCTAATATCCATAGCTGATGTCTAATTTCAGAGAGAGTTGTCTCTATTCATTAAGTAATTTTGAAATGATGTTGGAAGAAAAGAATACATATTTAAAGATCTTTCTGCAAGGACAAGCTGAACAAGAATGATTACATTAAGCAAATATTTTACAATAGCCAGAGAGTATGAATGTGAAAATCCTGCTTACTAAGGCAGTAGGAAAAGGGACATTTATTATCAAGGGGTCATTCTTTGTTCCCTTTATTGTAGCTATAATCTCTTGCTGCAGTTCTCTAATCTCATGTGTTTGCCTTAAAAGCCAGTTGTGAACAATGATGTGAACCATCTGCTCTGCTAGATAAAAGGCAAGAAAAGGTGGAATGACTCTAGTTTACTGCAGAAAATAAACAATTCCTCTGATTAAAAAAAAAAATTTCCCCTAATAATTGTGTTTACTATGTGCCATTTTGGAAATCATCACAATTTTTTCATTTTAAAAACTGGATCTGGTTTTGTTGGAATTTAACCCTTCTGTCTCACTTGGAAGTAAATTCTACTGATTTCCATAATATTCCCTTTTGGCTTTCCAACTTGAATTCTTTAATCACCTACTTACTTTCTGCAAATATAACAGGAATTTAAGGATGATTAACTAAACTACAATTGAATATTCCCTAATTGTTCTTATGTTCCATTAACATTCTAAATATATTTTGGAATAAATGAATGCTTTTAATTTTATTTAGGCATTATGTTTTTATTTATAGTTGAAAATGTTAGTTGAGAATTCCTTCTCCAAGGGCTGATGATGTCATGAGAACTGACACCCAGAGAACACACAAGAGGAAGATAGCAATAGTTTTGCATCACTAATTTCCCCAACCTCTAATGGAGGGACAAACTGCTACAAGGAATGAAGATGATCAGTAGCAGTGGAAAGCTAGCTAAATTCTGTGGTAGAATTAGAATTAGTGTTGGGGGCAAGGGGAGGGGAGATAAAATGGCTGAAAGTTGAAATCTACTATATCCAAATTTCCTTCCATTTAAACAGAATTAGAGCTGGCCTATAAATGTTGCCATAGCATCTCAGGGAGTATATCATAATACATCATCGTGATAGTGCCTTCAGGGTGAATCAGCAGCATTTGGGTGGATTTTAACTGTTAAATTTTTCAATCAGAACACTATGTTTCCAACAGAATCACATACTGTGTACCACTGAAACACAATATTCTGTCTCTTGATAGGAAAACAGTTAGAATCTGTAACAGGAGCTATTAATTAATCCACATTTTATCCTTGGCATTTCTAGATAAAAGGATCATAAACAGCAGGTGTGAGAAAGATATTTCTTATTTCATTGACAAAGTAGACAGCAGCAACTTAAGGGACAGAATTCATGAGAAAATAGGCTGTTATGCAAATATTATTTTTGGCATTTTGTACCACCACCACCACCACCCCACCACTTCAATTATTCAAAAAGTATTTAAAGCTGCAGCTTCCAAGAGATATTCCAATGCAATCTTTGAATCCAAACTTTTAAATTGTTGTCAAAGAGCTATTGAAGCTAGGAGGCATATTTTTTTCTCCAATATTTGAGGAATTAGAGAACCATATCCATCTTCTATGAACCTGGGCCAATTCCCAATAGTACTTATTTAAAATTATTTATATAATGCTGTTCATCAAGTATTTCATAGTAGCATACATGTTTATAGTACAGTAAGAAACCTCACAATTTGTTAAATTATATAGCATAATCTAATTTAATTTAATTGATAATTTTAACATTTTTGTCATAGAATCTATGTCTAGAAGTTATAGAATTGGATCCAGATTAAATCAGTTGAACATAGTTCCCATGAAAATTAATGCTGCAGTCAAGGTTAATTTGTCTGATTGTTTTCATGCAACCTAAGTTGAACTAATAAAATAAGTGATTGTTAGGTTAATTACTGCTATACATCTCCTGCTGAAAATAAGAACCATTTGATTAACCCCTACAACATTTCAGTAAATCCTTCCACTAGGAAATCACAAAGAGAGTGAAACTAAAGCTGTAAACCTGTGCCAACGTATTGGGGCAACAGCTTCACTACACTCAGTGAATATTTCTAGCTAGCCAAGTATAGAATTGTACTGCAGGTTTATCATCCTATGCACATTACTTGAAGTACAGATTTAAGTCAGGCTCATGGCTGGGTAGTTGGCAGTTTATCTTATTGTTACTACTCCTGAGGCTAATGAGCTCACTTTAGAATTAGTGGTTCAAGGACTCAGAAGGAGTCTGATAGCACCTTTTCTGACTAATAATTTTTATTAAAAGGTATAAGCTGCAGTTCACAAAAGCTAATATCTTTTAATAACTTTTGTTAATTGAAAAAGGTGCTACCAGTCTCCTGATTTTTTGCCAGCATAGACTGACACAGCTGTCCTCCTATAATGATTCAAGGACCGTAAGTGTAGAAAGAGAGGACAATATATGGATTTTGTGTGTTTCCATTCAGAAGTGATTGCTAAGTCCAATTAGATGTAGTCCTAGGAGAGTAGGTATAGGATTGCAGCCTAAAATATTTGCTTGAGGATATTGTTGTGGATAAAGCTTTATCCTCTTCTAATATGATTTAGAGAATGTTCAGACTAGATAGAAAAGGGGCTTATGTCTAGACAGCATGACCCTTTTCTGCAGATATACGACTTTATAACTTCAGAACGCATATTAAACCAAAATGACAGTAAAGGATGCTGTTATTCATCCTGTCAAACACACCAGAGAGAGAGGGAGAGAGACCACATTAATTGCCGGAAAGCAGTATTTCCCATTTCCAGCCTTTTCCTACACTCCTTCAGTCCAAGTATTGTTCTGCATTTCATTTGAATTAAAGCTAATTCAGTTCTAGATGTAGTTTGCAGCGTTTCTTCCCTGAAAACCAAAAGCCTGCATTTTTGTAGAACAGGATTATTAGTGCAAGCATTTTGGTTCTTACAGAGAATAAAAGGAGGCCCATCTGCAACAATCTGAGAGGGAGAGAGGGGAAAAAAAGGTTGAATACTTTACCTGGAGCAAACACCATGGTTCCTTCCTGCCAAGAGAACAGGGTAATAAGGAGACACCACGAAATCGTGTGTAAGAGGCAGGAGGTGAGCTGACGGGCAAAGCAAACAAGCAAATTACAAGGGCGTGAGTTTTGCAGTGACACCCAGGAGTGGTAGCACCTTGGACAGCTACATACACCGGACAGCGCCAGCCAGCACTGAAATGCTTCCCTGCCAGTTACCTCCACAATGCACTGCTCTGGAGAGGAGGAGGAGGAGGAGAAGAGGAGGAGGACGAAGGAGCCCACCGTTCAGCACATATCCCATGTCTTCGCTCACTGCACACACAGCTAGGCTGAATTCCGCAGCAGCAGCAGGAGAGGGAAAAGAGGAAAGGTAATAGCAGACGCTCTCGGCAGGAGAATAAAGTAATTGCTCCTAATTATCTCTCGTCATCTTCTGTGCTAAATGAAGCCGGGCTGAAATGCGTAGGGTGGTCCTCAGGGCTAAGTTAAAAGCCTCTTGTAAGCTGGCTTTTCTAAGGCACTGCGACATCTTATTATTCAGGGCTTCCTTGTATTAATTAATCCTTTTTCAAAAGCAATCAATCACCTATAGGTTTTGCCAGGAGTCTGTGAAATTTCTGTTTAGTTTGATGCTGCTTTCTTTTCTAACATTTTCAGTATCGCTTGGAACTAGTTGAACCGCAGCTACAGGGGGGATAAAATGGTGATATGAAAAGTATGGCCACTGAGATCTTTTACTGACAATCTTTTTTCCACATTATGAGTCCCTACATTGATTATCACAAACTAATAGTTGGGGTGAAAGGAGGGATTTTAAAAATGTCTTAGGTGTTGGGTTATTGCTGTGGTTATTAGCTGAAAATGCCACTTTCAGCTGTTTGCACTGAAAAATGAAAACAAAAACCTTCCTCTTTAAAATCAATATTATTCTTACAACTGACTTAGTAGATTGTATTAAGCAATATCAAGCCTTAAGTGTCCATGTTAAACAGACCACATTTATTTTAAGTCCATTTTTTATTTCTGTCAAAGTTAAAGAACTATGCATGCACAGTATGATCTGCTCAACTTAGCACTTTTCATTTAGTCAGGAGTTTCAACGCAAAGGCTTAAGAACATTAATTCTATCACTAAAATCAATTGTTTCAAGGTGACTGACACACTTTGAGAAAAACACCCATGAAGTTGAGTTGCATGTTTGGCTGGACTGTGCTAATGTGTTACACAGCAGTTTATGTTTCCTTTGATAATTCTGCCCTCTATTCCCCAAAATTCAAAACATCTTCAAAATTCCAAGAGCAAAAAATGTATGATTTAGAAGGTTAAGATCTCCTATAATGATAACAAGATTATAATTTTCTCCATTCCCCTTATTGGTACAGCACATTAAAGGGACCATATACTATTAATGAAATATGTACAGTATTTGTGACTTTGTTAGTAAGTGTGGGCAACCTGGTGATTTCTAAATGTTTTGAATTTCAACAGCCTATCAGCCTCCACCAGCCAGTATCAAGAGATAGAGGAGGTCTAGTTTAAAATATTTGAAGGCATATTCAGACATTTTGGAAATTGCTACGATGAACAGGAAATGTGCAAATAAATTTTTCTGTTTTCCTACAAATTTGGTGCAATATAGGAAAGGAATAGAGTTAAATACACATGCCCATGTATCTTGCATGTATACTGAATTCTGTGGTATTTCTTTGTTCATTATACCAGAAACATTGAAAAAAAGAGTCATTACATTTCTGATTAGTCACTTTTGTAGGTTCAAGGTAGTTTCAAGGTTATGGCATCTTACAAATGAATGAAAGTATTATCAGGTTTTGTAGACTACAGTTCATTTCATCGCAAAAATTTACATGACAATAATCTGTGGGTTCTGAAGTACAATTTTTTTGCTGCAAAAGATTAACAAGACTAATTTTTATTATATACATACACACACTCTCCCTCTCTCTCGAGCCAAGTTCAGTTCATTGTGTCTACTGTATGTGTGAGAACATAAACCCAAATGAAAAATAGATTAGGATACATTAGATATTGGGGTGAAAGCTGGTATGCTTTACATTTCTTTACCAGCATGACTACACAGGAAAACACATTTTTATTATGAAGACCGGCATGAACCACTGGCAATTAAGACTTACCTCAGAGTAAGTCTTAACAAATATGATTTAATTTCCTATTATAAGGAAGTGTCACTCAATGAAATTGATTAGAAATTATTTCTGAAATGGTTAAAAGGGCACAGGAACAAGGTTCATTTTAAATACTATGGCTAAATTAGCATATATATTTTTTTCAATCCATTTTAATTAGATAAATTATTTGGGACAGATTTCATTCTGTACAGCTTACATAAGAGCAGAGGCAGCTACTACTGAAGTGAGTGCATTTTGATCTGATCCAGCAAATCTTAAATTTCTGTTCTCACTTTTAATGAAACAAAATTCCTGGTAAAAGAATCAAAGTAGTAGTAAAGACTGTGGCTTTGACGGAATACTTGTATGGGGAAATTTTGAACACTGAGCAACAATTGAAAATCATAATCTAAATTAGCCACTGATCAGCTTTTCGTGGTCCTTAAAAAGGTGGGGGGCATTTCTAATTATTTTCTTCTAAGACACAGTCTGACACAGGCTAAAGCTGTTTGCAGAATCACTATTTTTTTTTCCTGTGTTGCTTTTACTTCTCCAATATAAACTAGAACAGAGATCCTTCCTTATGACCCTCAAATAATTATTTGAGCATTCACTTTTATTGAAACCACCATCCTGAACTGTCAGTGTTTGATTAACACCACAAATACACTATATTCGGATTCACTCTGAAACATGTATGCAAGTATGTCTTTGAACTAAGAGTTTTTGGTTTGCATTCAATTCTACTACCTACTGATGTCGTCATAGTTCATTGTGATTAAGAACAAAACATACACCTATTTAGAATACTTGTTATGCAATATGAGGCTGTTCATGAACCAGAATGAATTATAGTTGCAGATCTGACAATGAAGTAGAAAAGCAGACTTCCCTATTAAATTTGTCCTGTTTTATCTTCTCTTTAGATTGTGCTATCACACCAAAGCACTGGAAAAATCCTATGCCTAGTTACATAGAAGCAAGTACAATTAAATTTACTGAGGCTTTCTTCTGAGTAAATATGAATAGACTGTGCACAGGATCAAAGTTTCCTGTTTTTGTGAACACTCATCGAGTCAGTTCAGGAATGAGTGGAGTTCAACTCACATGAGAGGGCTGGGCAGAGCTCTTCTTGTGTCCTTTCTCTTCCTGCAATTGCCTCTGCTTCTTGAAAAATGTCATGGAAAGCTGGGAGTGTTTCTGAAGTAGCAGAAGAAATCCAGAGAGAGCTGCAAACAAACTGATTGCCTCCTTTCCCTTTCTCCAGTGTAGAGCATCTGTTCATTATCCAGAGCTATCTGCTTGCAGAATGGCTATTATAGATCCAGTCCATTAAGTTTCAACATTTTTGCTTATCTATGCAAGTTACTTACTAACATTCTATCACAGAATGTTCTAATTCCAAAATGGGCTGTTCCAAAGCTAGAATGATCCATGAAAGAACATTCTGCACAGCCATATTATCTACTTAAACTGATGAACCTTCAACTTGCCCACATACTTCTATTTTACAAGGCCTATTTCAGACGTAATTAGATGTAAATAATTAATGTCTCACTTATTGTTTCTGCTATGGGCAGAGTATTTAAGCAGCTACATACTGGTTATCCCATTTGAGATTCTAAACCACAACATACATTTTTTCTGCATAAAAATTAGACTGCATGTAGGAAAAGCTAAAAGGTGAACTAACTCTGAGTTAATTTCATTGTTTGATTTATGCCACTTTTCTACTCAAGCAAGAACTCAAACAGGCTAGCAATTTTTTTTTAAAATCCAAAATACTGTAAGGCAAAGATCATTTGTATCTAATGAAATTAACAGGAATTATAAAACCAATACATTCAAAACAGAAAATGAAGTTATGCTCCTGAAAAATGTACAGGCACACAATCTTTATATATTCTAAAATATTCAAGTTTTATTTACAAGACACATTTCAAACTCTTGGCATTTTAAATATAACTTTAAGTTGCCTATTCAATGAGTATTTCACAATAACATTGTAACAAAGACCATAGCTAGATGCAATGTTATAGGTAAAAATATTAGTTTTAACGTCTATATAGAAATGTAAGAGATGTTTGACTCATATTAATTTATAAATACTTATTTGACCCCTGTCAGAACATATCTGTGTTCAACATCATTTAAAATAAGTTGTATTAATACATGTAAAACAATTACGTATAAATATGTGGAGAAAGGTCTTTCAAGATTTTTAACTGACCACATTTCATTTTACTTCATAGAAAACCCATTCTAGTTTGTTACAAATGAACCTGTAACTGAAACAATAAAATCACTTTTATTTTAAATTAGACTAGTAAATTAATTTGGGATGGGTAGGTTAAGTGAAATCTGAAGTAACTTCACAGCTAGCCATTCTCTTCTATGGAAAAGATCCCATGACCAGACTTCTCTATTAATTCCTTGGATAAATACTTCAACAGACAACTTCATTCTCTGAAAGATAATCAAAGACCAATATGAATCCTGTTCCAAAAAGCTGGCTGGTAATTTTGTGAAGATAAGCAGGATAATTGCTTATGAAGCACAGACATTAAGCTGCAAGCTCAAACATACTTGCTAGTAAGCAGCATGGTTGAGGTCAGTAAGACTTACTTTCAAATAAGGTATTTTAGAATTAAAATATAAATCCCCAAACCACACAATTAACTGAACCGTCTTAGGCTGCAATTTTGTAACATTATGTTGGGAGTAATCCTCACTGAATTCTGTGGACATCTGAGTAAAGACATACAGGATTGAGCTGTGTCCACTAATGGGATAGTTTTTGAGCAACAAATAGGAAAAAAAAAAACATTCAATTGTCTAATTCTAACTTCTTCCACTCAAAAGTGGTAACTATATTGTTCTGAATTGTTCTTTCCAGACTATAATTCATTATCCCAATTTTTCCAAAGTTAATGGAAAAGTCACTAAAAGCCTGAGAAGCCAACATCTGACACCATGCTATTTAAAGTTGCAGTTGGGGCTCAGTAATTCCCCTCCATATTGAAAAAGGTGTCTGGCAAGCTAAACTGGAATCTTTCAACTTGATTTCTCCTGGAACAATCTGCATAGTTCAAACCTACCTTCAGTTTAGGGAGTGAACTGCAACTTTTTTTGACTCTCTGAACTATCAGGAGCACTATGATTCATTATCTAATGTTCAGGACCAGCTAAAAAAAGTCTTATAAACAATTTACTCTACTTAATTGGAAGTGAATGAAGTAAATTTGTTTTGAGCTGTTTTCAAAGTCATGTTAGCTTTTTCTCTGTATCTTTTCCTTGTCACACTTACTGCCTGAACTCCATTCTGATATCTGCACTAGAATATAAAACCTTGATAATTATGCTGCCTCGACAGTAGCAATGTATATTCTTGCTAAATACCCCCAAATCCCAGAGACTATTATAATCTCATTAGTGAGGATTTACACTTGAATTCTACTTTTTTCCCTATTGTCCTTCTTTATTTCTTATGATACAGAAAAATAATAAAAAACTTCTTAAATATTATTAAAGGACATTGCCGAGAAATCAGCTAGCAATCCTTTCTTTTGTCAGGGCAGATGAAAGCAAAAAAATAGTAGCAGACAGGTACATATCCAATGGGTCTTATAGAAGAAAAAGGCTCAAGACAAAAAGTGGCTTTGCTAAACCCAAATGCTGACAAGGAAGAGAGACAGAACGCTTTTGGTTGTAGTGTACGATTCTTAAAGGAAATCTTTCTTTCTAATATAGTCAAGATCTCCAGTGGTTCATACAGAACCTTAAAGCATTCCTGAAAACTTGTCCATGGGTAATAATGAAAAAACACTTCATTCCATGTCTTAAAATAAAAAGGCATTGTATCATATGCTTTCTGTGTATGTTTGCAATGAGCACGTTCTAAGTAGAATGAAGCTTAGTGTCAAATATGTGTTAATAAGACTGCAGAATCCAGTGACCAGAAAAGAGAAGAAAAACCTCATGATGTTCTTTACTCATTATCTAATTAGAGATGGGCAAGCTTTCAGTGGTTTGAGGGCCAAGTCCATCATAAGGAGGGCTGCAAGAGGCTATTAGATGGTGCAATAACACTGAAAGAAGCATGATCAATTTTATCGGGTCTTGGGTTTTTTAAAAAAATAAAATCTATAATGGAAAGTTGTTTCTATAAGACAAGCCATTCCCATTTCCATTTTTCAACTCCCACCAAACTTCAACAGCAAAATAGCCTAAGTTTCATGGTGCAATTTCAGGCCATGGGGAAAAGCTGACCTCCTTGAGGTCTCCTACTTCCATTTCTGTGGGAGAGGGGAGGGGAAAAAAGTCACACTGCTGAAGGCGGGTAATTTTGCTTCTGAAATTTGAAATCATAATCTCAATTGATGGGGAACTCCATGCAGCCTGCCATCCAATTTGGGGGGTGGGGGGTGGAGTAGAATAGTTTCTACTGCTCATATACCTTGCATCAACAATGACAGTAGATTAAACTGGAGCTAAACAATTGCAAAGAACTAATAAATAAAATATGAAAGTCTTATTATATTTTCATTAATTTTGATTAGAAGACTGGAAATTAATACATTCCCCCCTACAAAGTAATTCTTACATTCAGTCCAACTCATAATTTCAAGGTTTTTTTTAAAAAAAAAACTGTTTTAGCAGACATAATTCATTAAACGGTTCACTAACAGCACAATCTATAGGCCAAGAAACCAACAGATTTTGAGTTAATCTGATCTTGCTTTACTCACACGGTACTACTTTCTACTAAAATCCATGAGGCTTAGCCATATAACACTTGCAGTCCAATGACAGGTATTTATTTTTGACTTGGCAAGTTGTTCTATCATTTCTCACCACTGATGACAATCTCTAATTTAGGAATTTCCTAGATCATAGAAAACATATTTAGGGTTGGGGCGCCAAGCAACTGGAATCAATGGAACAAAAGTAGCTTAAATCCAAATACTTAGTCTTAATTTCACTGAGCATTGGAGTGTAACATCTTCCATTCCACATGCAGAGTTTATTCCAATAGGGCAAGGCATGCACTGAAACCCAATATTTTAAATAGAGGAATAAGACACCAGCTAGAGTCTTTTAAAAAAATTATATCCAACTGGACGGATGCCTTGATCAAGGCCTTATCCATGCTTGATATGAGAGTTTTTTGCTGCAAATTGCAACTATATTTCCTACTTTTTAAATCACACTAAAATGCTTTGCTCAGTAGTGAGTTTTTCAGTCCAAACATTTTCCAGCATATGTCCACTCCTGCTTTTAGCTACAAGCTATAGTTTCAAGTTGTTGTTCTGCCTCAGCAGCCATGGCAGCTGCCTGTAATTGTTCTGTTTCACTTTGGAGGGCACTGGCTGTGGTTACTTGCTTCCTTTCACTGTGCATATTGTTCTCATGTCTCTTTAAATCAGATGCTTTGGCAAATGCTTTAGTACAAGAGCTGCAGACAAAAGGCTTCTCCCCTCTATGTCTTCTTTCATGATCTTTCAGGTGGGACTTATGCTTGAAAGCTTTGTCACACATGTGGCATGCAAATGGTCTTTCATTACTGTGAACCCTCTCGTGCTTTTTTAGGTCTGGTGCACGAATAAAAGACTTTCCACATACTTCACAGCTATATGGCTTATAGCCTGTGTGGATCTTTAGATGCTCTTTCAAGTGGGCTTGAGTGGTGAAGCCTTTAGTGCACATTTCACAAACAAAGGGCCTATCCGCAGTATGGAGTTTTTCATGTTTTCTCAATCGTGCTTCATCAGAAAATGTTTTGCCACACGCTGGACATGCAATTTGTTCCCTGTGACCATAAAGCAAATATTCAAATTTCATGTCTCCAGCTGCTGTTGTCCATGCTGGTGTCTGTTCATCCTTTACTTCACTTATGCCATCATTAAATGCTAGAGCTTGAGGAGTTTGTGATCCTAGTTCTTTAGTTTCAGCAGACTCTATAGACTCAACTTCTTGGCCATAGCAGTTCACTTTTCGAACCTCTTCACTCCCCAGCTCCTTCAGAATTGCTTCCTGAACTCTTAAAGTAGCAGTTGGTGATTTACCATCCTCTTGACTAGGAGGAGTTCCTTCCATTGTCATATCTGATGGACTATCATCGTGATCACCAATTTCTTCAACCTCATCATCTTGGTTATCATTAGACTCCCCAATTGGTCTGTTTATTTTAAGACAATACTTATTCTTTGACTGTGAATTGTCTTCTGGACTTGATACATCACGCTTTTGAGAACAGAGTTTATCCAAAAATCTAATACCAAGAATCTGACCAGATGACATCATTAAATTGACGTCTTCTTTCTTAACTGAAATTTTGGCTGTGTACATATAATTGAGCACTTCCTCAAATATATCAGATCGAAGGAAATCTATTTCAATTACAGATGAGCTGTCAACTTCCAGTTTTTTGAAAAGTTTTTTAAAATAGGTACTACAAGCAGCTAGAACACACCTGTGGGCCCTGAATTTTACATCTTCTACAACAATAGCTATGTCACAAAATTCTCCTTCCAATCGTTGCTCATTTAATGTTTTCAGAAATACAGTTTTGTGATCGTCGTCATTATATTTAATGGTTTCAGACATACTGATGAAAAACTCCTAGAGAAAAACAAATTTATGTTACTCTAAAAAAAATCAAGATATTGTAAAAAAAAAAGCCACATTTGAACTTATATTAAGGTGATAAACATTTTAAAGTAAATATATAACCTTCAAAGCAGCCATGGATACAAAGTTGATAACCTATTATTGTACAAATGTCACAGAAAAAATGTTTTATTTTTCACTAATGAATTACAGATCATAGTGATAAGGATATTACAGTCTTTGACTGAAGTTCTCTTTCACCAGGTTCAACCTGCTAGAATAAATTATTCCTTCTTTCATCTGAGCTAAGGCAAAAACCCCAAAAACAAGACAAAGTAAATTTGAGAAAAAACTAGAATAAGAGACAAACTATATTTCAACCAGGAGTTAAAGCAAAAAACAGTGAAGGGGAAAGCGTAAAAACAAGAACAAGATTCCCCCTCCATTCCTCATAATTATTCATAGTGCCTAGAGAATAAAACAGTTTACAGAGACAAAAAAAATTAAAGAAATGTAAACAAAGAAATGTACCATGAACAAGGAAAGATCTTTCCTTAGTATCTGAGCAATGTTTTGAAAGCAGATTCTTATCCTGGGCTCCCTGCACCTGAAAAAGAAAACAGTAACAAACCTGTGAAAAAATATTCATCCGCATAACAATCCTGTGAGTTGTTAGACTATTAGCTCAAGGTCACATAATAAGCTTATGACTAGGCAGATATTAGAATCCTATATCCTTGGGTCCAAAGCTGATTCCCCAGATTTAAGGTACCCAAAATGGTGGAAATGCTCTCATCAGATTCTCTGTACCACTGACACTTTACATTTTTCAAAAAACATTTTAACTGTAAAAAAAGGAAGTTTTACCTGTCTTCCAAAGGTGTCTCTGGGTCCCACAAGTTTTTGTTTTTTAAAGAAAATAATGGAATTGTCTGGAAACACAATGGGTAAACCCCAGGAAAAGGGGTAGCAAGGGGACATCTCACAAAAGAGGGAACTTGAAGGAATTACAGCATTTTGTTGCTGGCTATGGTCTCCATGATTACGGTTTTCTGAATGGAACCATCCTTAGATTTCCCATGGCTTCTATGAATTTAACACCATCTTTTAGTGATTCACTAGTGATTCATTTAGTGGACATGGCAAACTGGTAGAAAATACAACAGAAATTATCTTAAATTGAGTCAACATTTTTTATAATATTAATGTAGAAAATTTTTATCCTGTTTTTTTATTGATAATCTCCCACCAAAGTTGATATTTTGCACACAGGAAATAAAATTAATTATAGTACTTTTGCTAAAGCTGTGGTCTTAGATTCTATTTATGTTTCACAATTTCAAAGCAAGTTATTCATTTCTTTGTGCTATTACTGCTCAGTGTCATTAGCACAGGTGCCATTTTGGGCAGGTGTTTTGCCTAATAAATATCCTGTATGCTTTCTCATTGTATTTTCCCCCAAAATGCAAATTAAACAGCTCCTTCACTGCTCCAGGTGATGTTATCCACCGCAAAAGTAGTACTTTAATCTGATGTAGAGGACTGTCAGCAACTGGGAATATCTTTTGAATTAGAAAAATAAGTGCATCTGCTTACTACCAGTTAGACGCAGGTGCTTGTAATCATGCACACATTTGTCTAAAGCAAGAAACTGATCAACAGCCTCATCTCACAAAGGGACTGAAACTTGCTGTTTTTCAACATTTGTATCAAATACTTTTCTCCACTGAATTTCTGGAGAAAATCTAGAGTTTTTTGTTCAGTTGAAAGGTCACTGATTTTAACTGCCTCCAAAGCTTTTTTTCCTTTAAGAGCTTGGGATTGGCCTATTCATATTAGTACAATAGTTAACCAATAGCCAGGCCTATAAAAGTCATAAACTAGGAACCTGGTTATTGACAGAAAGCTATATGTTGGCACCTTTCATTCATAAATACATACTCCAGATCTAAAACTGTTGATCCTGGCTTATCTGATGTTCCTATTACTGTTATTCCAAACTAGGATTTGTAAATCAAGAACCATCCCTGGTTTGCAATCTTCACTTATACAGCTCCCCTATACAGAAAACATCCTGCGCAAAACTTTTTAAAGTGGTTGTACTATGAGATAAGAGTAAAGAAAGTGACTAGGATTCATGTACAGACATGCAGTTTAGCCCTACAAATAAGATTGTCAAAAGGACTGTAATAGTGGATTGGAAACCAACTGGTTTAATGCTGTGTTTTGGGGAAAAAAAATCAGTTTCCTGATTTCACCTTTTGCTTGGATCGGTAAAAAAGCTCCAGAATATGCAAGACTGATGAACATAGAAGGGCACACAATGACATGCTGTTTATCTTTACTGGAGGGGGAGTCAGACAATTCCTCATGCCTCTAGTACATACAAAAAGGATTCCATGATCACAGAGATCCTACATGATAGATAAAATTTTGATTGGGCCCCTAGTCTCTCAAGAATTTATGATTACTGTATGTAGTTCCTCTTCTCATGTGTTTTGAATGCATGGACAAAATGTAACCACTGAATGTCCTGGAAACAGGAAAAGAGAATACCATGCATGCAATGCTCTAAAGTGGTCTTTCAATTTTAGGGGGGTCATATAAATTCCACCATTAAGTTACCATCTATTAGAAATGTGGAATATGTGTAAATAATACACATGGTTTATTGCCAATCAATATTTTGTTTTCTAAAACAGCTTTAGGAAGTATTATTTTATAAAATATATTTCCTGCTCATTAATAGTTAACCAGCTCTCCCAAATAACAGATAACCCACAGAATTTTTTTAAAAAAATTTTGTGAACCCAAAGAACTAAACCAAGAATAATAGAACAATTCTATGCTATGTAAATCAAAAGCAAGTCTCGGTAGGTTCAGTGAAGCTTATTGTCAGGTGAAACTGGAATTACAGTTCAAAACTGAAATCCAAGCATTACCTTCTGAGAACACATTAAATATTCGACTTTATGGCTGACTCCTTAAATTTACATATGCATCGAGCCCTACCGATCTGAGTAACAGTGATATATTTAAGAAGCTTTTCTTGTTACAACTGGTATAAGCACTAATAAAGCAAAAATAAAACAAAACACATTGTCATTAATGGGCTGAAATCATAAGTCGGCTTATTGGGAAATCAAAATGACTACCACGAAAATGACACCGAGTTCCAAGCCTCTATTTTCGTACTGAGCCTATGGCGATCTTTCGCCATATGGAGAGAAGAGCGTGCGATTCTAACGTGCACGTTTTGTAGGCAAACAAACAGCACTGCCGGCTCCGTGCGAGTAACCATGTAAGAAACGTGCACGGTGCATAATCGGTGCATGCGTGCTAGTGCCCGTGCGGGGCCTACAACTGTGCCCCGCTGAGATGGGGCTGCTGCTGAGCGAAGTGCACGGATCCCTCACGCGCGACTCCCCCATCCCTTTCCTTCACCAAGGAGGCGGAGTTCAGGAAGGCCCGCGCGCGCGGGAGCGAAGAAAACAGGCTTCTATTCCACCCCCTCCCCCAGCCACCAAATCTCGCGGCAGAGCTCGCTCCCTCGCTCGCGCTCTCCAGCGTTAACGGACGGGCGGCGCTGCCGGACTGCAAGCGTTCATTTACCCCGGAGCGAGCCTTTGCCTGCTGCCGCGCTGCACGGGACTGCGCCATCTCCGGCATCCTCCTGCTCCGGTAGAGGAGACGGCGGCGACTCCAGTAGCGCAAGGCAGCCATCCAGGCCCGAGACCAATGGCGCGCGCAGGAAGAGCAGCAAGGGGCGGCGCGCGACGGAACCTCTCCAGTGCACCTCCCCGCCTCCCTCCGGTTCTGCTGCAGCAGTCGAGCCTCGAGTGCGCGCGCAGATGCTCGTCAAGCTTACCTGCCGCTGCTGCGCTTCACGCGGAGAGTCCCGGGAAGGGGGGGGGTTGGGTGACGGTGGCGGGAGTGCTTGGTCCAAGCAAGGATTTGGGGATGGGGGGGATGTAGGGGGAATGGCGCGCGTCTCTAGCCGTTACCGCTGCTTCCTGCACGAGCATTCACTGCCGCGCGCGCACGCGCGAGGCGCGCCGGAGGCGGGAACGTGCATGCGCGATGCGAGCAGGGCGCGCCCCCCGCGGGGAAAGGGCGGGCACTGCGGGGATCTTTCTAAAGGCGAAGGAACTCGGCGGCGGGCGTTGGAAGTGGAGGGAGAAGGCGCGCCTGCATTGCTCTGTCGCTCTTCCCGGGCTCGCGCGCCCTCGGCTGAGCCGCTTCTGGCTCTTGGTCGCTGTGGTCGGGGCCGCGCGAGCTAGAAGCGGTCGGCGAGGCTATGGATTCCAGATGAACAACTTTGGTTCTGCGGCAGCGGAAGGAAGCATCTCCTTGGCTCGTCTTTCCACGCGTTAAATTACTTGCTGAGAAATAATTCGTCTCTGACGTACGCTTATCCCAGTACATATCAGTTACATATTACGAATAATAAAAACACTGATAAAAGACAGTCTCAATCTTCCTCAAGCCGCGTATGCGTTTCACCGCACCCATTACTAGTAAGGTGCGATATTTTAAGGACCGGAATATTCAGTTTCCACACGGGGGGGAAAAATCGTGGTAAGTTCTGAGGCTGAAGTCTGCTCCTTTCCGCTCGTGATGTCCCCCCGCAGCAATTGAACCCCTGTCCAGGTTGAGGCATGGAGCTCTCCGCCGAAGCTGGGGCCGGCGCGGAGGAAATAGCGCTCGAGCCCAGGCTTTCCAGCGAAAAGACAATAGGTTTTCTAGTTGACGACTAACTTAACTATGGTTAACCCAGGGTTCTGGCTCCCCGTGACACGCTGAATCATAAACTGATCTTGTGAAAAAGGTGGTTCTCCTGATTAAAGGAAAGCAGACGAGGGACCGTGACCCTTTTCGGACAGCCATTGTCGTTGCTGCCCTGGCGGAAAGATGTTTGAGGCCTTACACGTTACTTTTTAAATATTTGTATTTGTATTTACAGTTGTTTAGATTGACTGATTATGGTTTAGTCAGCTGCAACCAAACACCACTTGGTAGTTTACATCAAGTCATTTTGGTACCAATAGAAGAGAATAGGCACATAGAGATAATAGAGATGTAGAGAATAGGTACATAAACAACATCTACACACTACTCAAGAGAGACAATAAAAAGGAAACAAAAGATCAGAACATCTCATTAGCAATCATCACCCAGATAAGCAGAGATTAACACCAAGATTATACAATCAAGCAGTAAACAATACCCTAATCAAGAAACTACCAGGAAAAAAAAAAAGCCACCAACACAGGCAGGGCAAGCCACAGTACATAAACATGTTACTTAGCCGGGTAACAAAACTTTGGAAGAAAACAACCAAACTCAGAGAATCCCAAGGACTCCATAAGTCACTTTGGGAGAATTACTATCCTAAAAGGTGATTATAAATAAAGATAATGAACTGACTGCAGAAGCTTGGTTTGTATGATACAATTACATTAAACTAAAATGTGGTTTGCTGGTTTGTAGTTCAATGTGTCCTGCAAAATCCGTTTAGGAAGTTATGCAAAGCCTGCCCATAATTCTATGAAACAAACCCAGAAAATTGGTAACAATTAGCTGAACTCTTATCTACCATGGGTTTACTTTCTGTCACAGTGATTCTTTTACACAAAAGAAAAATAAAGTGTTGGTAAGATACAGTACCTAAAGGTATGGTATTAGGGTCTGAGGTGTGATTTCTTAAGTAGGATTTCTAAATCTAAAATGAAAAGAAAGAATGTGTAGATCACACAGTTGGAAGACTCCAATACCTTGCCCATTGCATAAATTTAAATATCCTTTCCATATGGCTCTCTAGCTTCTGCTTCATTGTACCCAGTAAAGGTGAGTTCATCAGGGTTGGCCTGTTATCTATAAATTTCTTCAGCACACTAGGATGCAATCCATCTAATCCTGGAGATTTAAGTTAAGTCAGGGTCAATAGAGACAAAAGCTAATAAAGAGGTCCACCCAACCACACTAACCCAGAGACTAAAACTTTCCCGCCTCCCCAGGCTTAGTGAATGCTTCTGCCCATTGTCTTAATGGCTTCTAGATAATTTCTCCAAGGTCAACTCCATGGTTCCCTACTGTAGGCTTGAATTTGAGCTTGTACCACTGCTCAGTCAGATTCACTTTTAGTCTTTCACCATTGGTATTCCAGCATGGTTTCTGATGCTTCATCTTCCAGGGCTCCTCAGAAAAGAAAGATGCACCCTGTGATCAGCAACCAGAAGCAGTCTACTTGGGGTTGATTTCCCTGGTAGCTTTTATTATTTTCTGTTGTAAGAGTCTAATCAGGCAATAAACAGAGCAACCTATCAGATCATTAGGGAACTCCCCAAGTGTCTTCCAGAAACCCTACAGATCCATCAAATGCGTGTGCTGGACCTTCATAATGGTCCTGTGTAGCAAATAGTTTGACTTTTAAGTGATCCAACCTAAGAAACAGGCCAGATCTAATGCCCTTCATATTCAGACCACCAAACAACAGCTCTAAAGTAAACACATATCTAACAGATGGCCACCTACATACTGTATATTAGCCTGAGATTCCTTGAGACATGTCCACAGCTATCAGGAAGTCTGTGAACTCAGTGGCTTTTCTGACCTCAGTCCACAGGGCACTCCAAGATCAGCTCCAAGACAAAGGAGGCCAGAGAGGGCTATTGTGTTGAGTTTTTTGATTTTGCCACTATTGCCTAGAGTGCTTGCCAGCAAAAAAAAAGTCTTTCAGATGTATAATGTACAATTCTAGGAAGCACATGGAACTCATGTAATGGAAACAGACAACATCTCTCTGTAAGGCAGAAATCTTTTGTCTATAGGTTGCTGAATTTTCCTGGTTACTGCATCTATATGGTCTTGCACGTACAGCAATTCTACCAACTCCCCTTAAACTGTGCATTATGATCTCTTATCTTAATGAGGCAGAAATGAAGTTGATAATGCTTTTCTGAAATTAAGATTCCTCCTATAATTAGGGAAAGATTGAAGGCAAAAGGAGAAGAGGACAGCAGAGGATGAGATGGTTAGATAGCATCACTGAAGCAATGAGCATGAA